GTTTGTTTTCCTATTTTAATGCTTGGGGAATTAAATATAGACCTACACGGAAATATATGTTCAGTTCTAATCAGCTCTGGGATCCATCTTGGGGATGGATCCATTAAAAATTCCAATTTAAAATTCCCAATAAAGATGATGCAGTGGGAGGCTATTTATCTTTTCATGTTTAATTTTAAGATCTATTCCACATTGTGACCAAAGCTTTGAAGGGCATTAGTTGGTTGGCTGGATTGATTGTGATTGTTCTGCAATAAACTGTATTACTGAATTCCCTTCCCTTACTCCTGGAAGCTGAAGAGAAAGTTAATAATGGTCATGTTACAGTGTGGTCTGAGAATTGTCCGTCCTTAACAGAAGGCAGATAAATCACTAAAAAGTTTTATGGATTTCCATATTATAAAATGTAACTATAAGTAAAATGTAAATAGGGAAGCATTTATAAATATGCAGCCAATGTAAATTACTTTAGAATAGGGTCTATTGTTTATTTATCATCTCCTTTGGTAAAGCCGTTGGGTTGGTAGATGATGACACAGATGTCTTATCTGGATATGAGCAAGGCACTGGATCATGACTCTTGTCATTATGGACAAGATAGAGCAGCAATGTAGATTAAGTTATGGGACAACTGGAAACTGAATGCTGTATCCAAAGAGTGATCTCAAGTAGCATGCCATAAACCCTGATACTTCCATCCCTTTTTCATGAAAATATAGCATGCTTCATTATATGGCAGGGCCAGAGAAAGAATGGAAAGCTATTTGGTGGATAGCAAAGTGAGACCAGAGAAATCCTGCCAGGGTAGTAGCAGGTAGGGTCTCACATAATATCAATCTGAACAGAGGTTGACAGATACAACCATAGAAACTTGGGACAGGAAGGGATTTACTAGTACTGACCCAGGATGAAAGAAATTATAGAATTTAGTTCACTGTAATCTTAGGGTGAAGTGGCTGCCACAAGGGGAAAAGGCCTCCAAAACTGGGACTATCTTCAGGAAGGCCAACGTTCTAGAAGAAGGAAATTAGAATCTTGGCATGAATTCTTGATGGCCAGGCTAACCTTGGACAGTGTGTACAGTTCTGAGTCCTTCATTTGGGGGAAACTTTTGGCACACAGCACCTCTAATAGAGCATCCAGGAAGGTAAAGAAACCCAAAACCAACTTAGCGTCCTCCTTCACATAATTAGTGTGAAACATCTATGTCTGAGATTTCATGGATGTCAGAGTTAGGGACTCAATATATGGGTCCATTATTGTAAGTCTAAAATTGGTCCCTGGGCTGTTTAACTGGATGAGATGGGATTTAAGGAGAAAGAGCTCAGTGCTTTAGAACTTAGGCTTGAATTCTAAAGACTTAAATCCTGGCTGACCACTTTCTTTGTCTTTGTGTGAGTCAATAATTCTGAGCCTTGCTTTTCTCTCCTGATAATAGTACCTAACAGTGATATTTTAGAGTTGAATTAGAATTACTGGGTATAAAGTCATTGCTCAATAAATGGAAACTTATTTGTATGAAGAGATTTAATGGAGGAGGAATGAAAGCTCTCTTTAAAACGTAAATGGATAGTCTGGAATGAAATCATTTCCTTAGTATTCTTTGTGACCTTGGAGGGTAGAACTAGGCCAAGTAGATGAGTTACATGAAAATGGGTTTGGATACACTATAAAGTAGAACTGAAGATTATCAAAATATGGAACAGTCATCAGTTTAATAGTACAATACCCAGTGATGGGTTTTTTTTTCTCCTAATTGTAGAATACCTATTTTTCACTAAGCTGTATTTATTTCAAACTCAAAGTCCCAATTCCCCCCTTTCTCTCCCCCCCTCCTTTAAGGTTGTTAAGAATTTGTTATTTGTAGCCAAAGTCTTATATTTACTGGAACCTGAATCTGAGGATAAGCAAGGTAAGATAAAAGAAGACATGGAAGAACAAGAAGCTTTAGGAGATGGTGTGGCCAGAGGGGAAGTAAAAGAACACAAGTCCTGTGCAGATGTGAAGATGGACTCTGACAAAGAAGAGAACGAGGAGGCAAAGGAAGAACACAGCAAGCCAGCCACACTGCTGTGGCTGATCCAGAAGTTGTCCCGGATCGCAAAACTGGAGGCTGCCTATTCACCTAGAAACCCCTTAAAGGTGCGATGAATGTATAGAATGAAAGTAGTCACTTAAAAATATACATGAAAAAAGCATTGTAGTGGTATTAGTAATCCTCCCAAGTCTCTAGAACTTTTTAACCCAAAACTGCAGCAGTAATATCTGCCCCAAAAGAGACCTTGTTTTCTAAGTTAACTGTTTGTAGGGCTGCAAGAGAAACACTTCAAACGAACAATGAATGATCTATACTTTCAGAGATCGTGCATCTTTAAGTTTCTCGGAGCTGTAGCATTGGATCTTGGAATAGACAAGGTGAAGCCGTATCTCCCAGTGATCATAGCTCCTTTGTTCCGAGAAATGAACAGCACCTACTCGGACCAGGGTAACTGCACCTGTCTTCTGAATCTTCACTTCTTTCCTGAATGCTTCCTTCTTCCTTTCTGTCCTCCCTCCCTCCCTGCCAGAGTTTAAGAAAACTTGCTAGGGATCAAAACAATTAGTAGCAAACAAATAAGGCATATTTGTTATACTTGACTGCCTTCTATGTGCTTTCTTGTGTCGAAGAATGAATGTTTCTCTCCTAAAAGATGTTTTACTCCTAAGCATAGGTTAAATATGCAAAGAAATCCATAACTTGAGGTGGTTCTAAACCTCATGGTGCTATGGACAATAATGAATAAAATGTCCTGATACTCTCTTATTGTTAATTATAAGGCTAAAGTTTGAAATATTTTTTTTAAAAGATTTTATTTCTTTGAGAGAGAGCACAAGCAGGGAGGAGGGGCAGAGGGAGAAGCAGACTCCCTGCTGAGCAAGGAGCCCAATTTGGGGCTCCATCCCAGGACCCTGAGATCATGACCTGAGTCGAAAGCAGACACTTAATGCAGAAGCTTAACTGACTGAGCCACTCAGGTGCCCCAAAAGTGTGAAATACTTTTAAAATATTTTTACTTTGCCTATTTTTCATTTTTCTTGCCTGGGCATTTGGTACATTGCCCTCACTGATCTTAAGCAGTCTCTTTTGATAATAGGAAAAGAAGGAATTGGGAGTTGGAAAGAGAGGAGGTAAAGTGGATATTAAGTTTTAAAATAAAATAAAACGAAGTGAATGTCAAAGCAGGAACTATTCTTAGTCTTACAACCTTGAGAAAGTTTCCTTCCTCTCAGAGGAAAAGCAATGGTCAAGGCCAGGTCTGCTTTGGTTCTCATCACCCAGCATTTGTTGAGACCCTAATATTTGCCAGGCACTGGGGGTTCAGTGGTAGAAAAGACACTACTATTCCCCATCTTCAAGAAATTTGAAACCCAGTACAGCTCCTGAAATTGAATACAAAAACCTGTGGGTTATTTGCATTTGGGAGACAGAAGGCAGGGAAGGGTGGGGAAGCAAAGACTTTTGTCAGCTTCTCAGTCTTTATCCCCCCTTGAAAAAAGGTTATGGCCAGAGCTAAACATCTATGACCCATGAACTAGAGAGGGCCTAGAGACACACATACCTTTCTCCTGTCTGCACAGAGTTGAGCAGGTTAATAAAGTAACCCCAGATGTTTGTCGGGTTCTCAAATTAGTGTCTTCTGAGTGGGCTTCTGGCGCCTGGGTGGCTCAGTCGGTTGAGCGACTGCCTTCGGCTCAGGTCATGATCCCAGGGTCCTGGGATCGAGTACCGCATCGGGCTCCCTGCTCTGCGGGGAGCCTGCTTCTCCCTCTCCCACTCACCCTGCTTGTGTTCCCTCTCTCGCTGTGTCTCTCTGTCAAATAAATAAAATCTTTAAAAAAAAAAAAAAAAGAAAGTGGGCTTCTTGGTGCATCCCAGAGGAGTGGTGGCTGGGAGTGTCATGCCCAACACTTCCGTTCCCCCATCTCAGAAACATAAAGGCTGGATTTAGATCACTGTTTAATGTTCAAGTAATAAAAGTGATAATGTTGTAGGAGTTTATATTTTGCATGTTGTTGATTTTATAGATGTTCAAATGTGTCCTTTCCTACATGACTATCTCTGATTATTTCTCTGTGTATGACTAGATCCTATGCTGAAGAATCTATCCCAGGAAATCATGGAATTACTCAAAAAGCTGGTTGGACTTGAGAGCTTCTCCTTAGCCTTTGCCTCAGTACAGAAACAGGCTAATGAGAAAAGGGCACTCCGGAAAAAGAGAAAGGCTTTAGAGGTACGTTTGCTGTTTGAAAATATGGTGTGTTCATTAGACTTAAAATTTTTTTTTTTTTTTAAGATTTTTTTATTTATTTGAGACAGAGAGAATGAGAGAGAGAGAGCACGAGAGGGGGGAGGGTCAGAGGCAGAAGCAGGCTCCCTGCTGAGCAGGGAGCCCGATGCGGGACTCGATCCTGGGACTCCAGGATCATGACCTGAGCCGAAGGCAGTCGCTTAACCAACTGAGCCACCCAGGCACCCTAGACTTAATATTTTTTTTTTTAATATTTTATTTTATTTTATTTTTTTATTATTATTATTTTTTAAAGATTTTATTTATTTATTCATGAGAGACAGAGAGAGAGAGAGAGAGAGAGGCAGAGGGAGAAGCAGGCTCCCCGCAGAGCAGGGAGCCCGATGCGGGACTCGATCCCAGGACGCTGGGATCATGACCTGAGCCGAAGGCAGACGCCCAACCATCTGAGCCACCCAGGCGCCCTAGACTTAATATTTTTAATCAGGGGTGTGTACATGCGTGTGTGTCACACTTACTCAGGGAGGAAAGAGGAACTGGCTGTGTTTGAGAAGTGGCGACTTTACAGCTGGGGCTCCAGATTCTCTTTAATGGGAATGTGTTGCATGTGTGATATTTAAAGGTGAACAGAATGGCCCATTTCTGCATTTGATTTTTATTGGTTTAAGATTTACTTTAAAAGTTATATAAAATTTCTATTTTTTTTTCAAGTTCGTAACTAATCCTGATATTGCTGCCAAGAAAAAGCTGAAGAAACACAAAAATAAAAGTGAAGCGAAGAAGAGAAAGATAGAGTTCCTACGTCCAGGCTATAAGACCAAGAGACAAAAGAGCCACAGCCTGAAAGATTTAGCAATGGTGGAGTAATATGCTCCCTCTGCTGATAAAGTATCTCAATTTACCCCAAAGCATGAACTTCTCAGTGTATCTGCTGGTCTGAAATCACAGCAGGTTTTATTATTTAAGTTAAACTGGCAAAGATTGTATGTTACACAGTTTAATATAATCATGCTCATATTTTTTAAATTAAAACATTTTCATAATACTGTATCTTCACAGTCTAAAAAATGTGACACTAGTGATAATTTTTTTTAAGACACATTTTAAAATAGCAAGACAATGTAGAAGTTAGGAATAAAACAAGTGATGTGCAATACTTTTATGGAGAAAATATAAAACTTTATCAAAAGTCATTAAAAGAAATCTCCACAAATGGAGAAATAACCATGTTCATGAACAGCAAGTTTAGTATCATAAGATACTGAAGTTCTTCCCAAATTGGATTCCATTGGTTAAAGGCATATCTGTGTAAAATCCCAAGAATTCTTCGTATTATCCTAACAAGCTGATTCTAAAATTTATATGGAAGATAAGCTGAAAAGGGTGAGTAGTTTTCCCTGTCAGATACCAAAAGTAAGTCACAAGAAGTGCTATCCATAGTGAACATGTAATAAATTCTACATGAAAATTAAAAATTTCTACTTGTGCAGACACAACCGGGATATGGTATGTAGCATATATGGATAATGAATGTAGTAGTACCCAGGTTACATAATGAATAATTATGAATCAACAAAGACAATCCAATAGAAAAAGTGTCAGAAGGGAGAAACAGTCATTGCAGAGAAGAAAAAGAAATGGCCCTTAAACATGAATACTTACCTGATGTGGCTATACTGGTTCCTAAACATTCAAGTACTTACGTACTAGTTGGTAAGCAGTCACTGCCTTGAGACACACAAGTGCCTTGGCTATGTGAGTCCCTAGAATCCCTATCTCCCCACACCAAAAATTACAGGATTAACACCTGGACGAGTAGGGGTCCTCCTACATCAGCTGTGTCTGGTTATTTAAATACTTTGAATCACTCCTATATTCAACCTCAATAATTACAAAAATGCAAATTAACATCAGAATGAAATTCCATTTTGAACCCTTTAGGTTGATATGGTTGACAATGCCAAGTGTTGGTTGGCAAGCGTGGTGAAGCAAAGGGAACTCTTATAAACCACTTTGGAAAACAATGTGGTGTTACCTTGTTCACCTATACGGTATCTTTGTCTCAATCTATACCTGATGTGGAAGCAACATTCTTTAGTGTTCAATATATTTGGGGGGGGGTGGGGAAGAATCCATCCTATGTGCCAGATACTTTGCTAACATTTTATTTAGTCCTCATAGTATTCCCGAGAGCCGCTAAATTGGTTCTTATTTAACTGATAAAGAAACTGAGACTTGGGCACCTGGGTCGCTCAGTCGTTAAGCATCTGCCTTCGGCTCAGGTCATGATCCCAGGGTCCTGGGATTGAGTCCCACATCAGGCTCCCTGCTCGGCAGGAAGCCTGCTTCTCCCTCTCCCACTCTCCTTGTTTGTGTTCCCTCACTATCTGTCTCTCTGTTAAAAAATAAATAAAATCTTAAAAGAAAAAAGAAATAGACTCAGGTTAGGTAATTTACCTAAGGGTAACACAGGTTGCAGGTGGCATAATCAGGATTCACACCCAGGATTGAAAGCCTATGCTTTTCGTAATTTCTAATTATGGAGTCAGAATATAGCATATGGCATAGAAATCAAATGTTCAAACATTCTTGAACTTCAGCATCTGTGTTTTGATGTAGTTTGTCTCAAACAGGAGTTCTCACACTTCCAAGGGGTTTGTAATGTGCCAAAAGCATAAACATGGGGCATCACAGAAGGCTGACTGCAATTAATTCTAAGTGATTTAAAGTGCATGTACAGCTTTTATAAAAATTCTTAAAATAAAAAATCAGAAGTTAACACTAAGGCAAAAATCAGAAAGAACAAATATCTCAGGGATATTGCACACAATTTAGTCAATACTTATTGAGTGCCTACTGTATGGCAAAGTGCACCACACTAGATGCAGGGAGACTAACAATAAGGTATGGTCCCTACCCTCAAGGAGCTTACATTTCTACAACTTAAAGTGCATCTCAAGTATTCTGGTAACAAAATTCCATCACTCTTTTTAAATGTTAACACATGACACAGCACAATTACCAACCAGAGTTATAAAACAGAGTATTAGAGCTAAAAGAAGCCTTTGATATGATCTGTCCCAAGTTTCTTGTTTTATGGAAAACAAACAAACTGAAGGAATGGCCATTTGTGCCTAGAACTCATGTGTTCAGATTTTAAGTTTGGTGCTTTTCCCATTTTCAGGGTTCTGCAAAATAATATTCAGTAGATTTTTATAAGTAACATTCAAACTCCTATAACTTACCTGTATAGTTGTTTCCTACTAGACAAGGACCTCATAATTTATACCATATTAAAATTAGTGTATGCTCTATTTACCCATTCTAGCCTTTGTGATAAAACAGATCACAATCATTCAAGTGCTAGTGTTTGCTACTAAAGGTGTGTTCAGTATTCAAGATGGCAAGAGTTATGTGCTGCCCAGCATCTGCCTGCCAGGGCCTCTCTCCGCCCACACTTCTCACAGTGTTCCTAAAGTGCTGGGGTGGGGGGTGGGGGGCACCTAGCTACTTAGGTACAAACACTGCCACTGACCAGAAGGAAACCCAAGTAGAAGATGAAGCAGTACTATTTTCCTAGCTGGCAAACATATAACCTATCTATTTCAACCATGCATATAACTCTAAGATGCCATAATGTGCCAGGCACCACACAGGATTCCAAGGATATATATGAAAAAGTCTGTCCATCAGGAGCGATTTGGAAAGTATGAAACAATGTTAATTACATTCTCAGTAATATCAGATGCAGCACTGAGAACACTTGGGCCTGGAAGAAGGTCTCCAAAAAAGACTTCAGAGACCAAATTAAGAATGGTAGTGGGGAATGGGTAAAAAGATTAAAGTCCCCCCCATAAAAAGGGGGTGCCTGGGTGGCACAGTTGTTAAGCGTCTGCCTTCAGCTCAGGTCATGGTCCCAGGGTCCTGGGATTGAGCCCCACATCGGGCTCCCTGCTCAGCGGGAAGCCTGCTTCTCCCTCTCCCACTCCCCCTGCTTGTGCTCCCTCTCTCGCTCTCTGTCAAATAAGTAAATAAAATCTTTAAAAAAAAAAAAAAGATTAAAGTCCCACAGGTAAAAAGAGAAAGCCACATTCATTTGACCTAAATGACCAAAAGTATGAAGGAAAGAGGCTATAGACCTCTGGAAAGGCATTGGCAGGAATAGGGAATGGACCACTAGTGTTCACAAGAACACCAATGGGCATCAAGTTTTTTTTGTTTTGTTTTGTTTAAAGATTTTTATTTATTTATTTGACAGAGAGAGACACAGCGAGAGAGGGAACACAAGCAGGGGGAGCGGGAGAGAGAGAAGCAGGCTTCCTGCGGAGCAGGGAACCTGATGCAGGGCTTGATCCCAGGTCGCTGGGGTCACGACCTGAGACGAAAGGCAGATGCTCAACGACTGAGCCACCCAGGTGCCCCGGGCATCAAGTTTTTTAAATGCTGGCTGTCCAACTTAAAGATTCCCCCAAGTTTAAGTAAATACAAGGGACCATATTCTGTCACCATTATAGACAATCCTGTGGTAGACTGGGTGGGTAGTCTGAAAAGTTCCTCTGAACATAATTGTTTTTGATACCCCAGCAGTAAGTCTACTTTTTAAAACCAAGAATGCTCCATTTCTCCCTGTACAACCAGTAATTGTTTTGACTTTTCACCAAATTTACATGTCCAATTACAGAGAAAAGAAATGAAAGACAGTAAAGACATCTCTTACAATGCTTCTTAATACAGATTTTTTAAAATTTCCTTTAATACATTGTGGATTCCATCAAATATAACCATTTAGGATTGTTTTTACTACCTCTACTAGTATAGACAAATGTATAGAAATTATTTTGAATGTACCGTGTCTACTTCAATTAGCATAATTTTATTTAAGCAATTAAGGTTGTCTGTGTTACCAGTGTTGACATTTTCAGGAATTTATGGTATACTTTATGGGATGAGCTTGACAATGAAATCTCACTTTCAGCCCTGTTCTGACCTCACTAGCAGGTGGCCCTCAGCAAGCCAACTTATCAGAACCTTGGGTCCATGTCCATAAAATAAAGACATTACAACCTGTCCTACCTACATCACAGGGTTCCTGTATATATGAAAAATTTTTTGGCTACTATAAAGTACTATAAAATGACAATTACAGACGTCAGTGAGGTTAACCACCAAAATAATTTTTCAGCTTCATGCCTATACCCAGAAGCTTTTAAACAAAACAGCTTAAATAAAGTGGTCATTAAACAAATGAAGACTGTATTACCCACACTGTGTTCCTACTCTACTAAGTCTAATCTTTGGAAGAACTTAATTCATTTTAGGGGAAAAAAATCTGAGTTAAGATATTTATTAGTGTATACAAACAAGCGGCAACCACTAATTCAAAAATAGGAGGGTTTTTCCTCAGTAAGAGTACATTCTTTAATAGGACTCTATTTGAATAAGAATTCCTTACAAATAGAATATATACTTAAGAAAGCAAGGAAAGATTTTACATTACACAGAACAGACATTCAGTTGGTTCAATCATGGGTGAACTACCCTTCCAACCAAATACTTATTTTTTATATTTATTACAAATATTGCAGTCAGTTCAGTATATGCCAATAATCACACAGTTTTAACATTTAGTAGCATGAAGCACACTTAACTGTTTCCAAAGGGATATGTGATGGAGTCTTCATTGCACAGGGGTAGAAGTGATTGAATTACTGTCTGCTCTTTAACGTTTCAACTAACCTGTGAAGAGAAAATGACAGTTTCATAACATTAACTTCAAACTTTCAGGTATACAGCATGATCATTTATGATAAGTTTTATACGGAAAGTGGATTCCAAAGCACTTTAAATGACGAAGGCTAAGACAGTTACACTGCAGAATGATGTTATGAACCCAATTTCCATGAAAGCCTTTTAGCTTTCACTTTTGTCTATGCTCTGAATGATCAAAAAGACCAAATATCTTCTTTCCGGGCTGTAACTACTGCAGCATGGCTAGATGTGGATAACTCAGAGGTGAAAACTAGTCTCAGTCCTCATGGAGCTTAAAATCTAATGAGTAGATGCACTAATCAATTACAGGATAGTGTAACTACTATATCACTGGTCTGTGACAAGGACATCCAACTATGTGTGTGGTAAGGCAGTGGGCATGGAGACATGCAAGGGAAGGTTCTTGAGAAGAAGAGTGTCTTAACCTAAGTCCTGAAGGATAAGGAATGGAGGATGTGGTGAGGAAGGGAGAAGTTAAAAAAAAGGCAGAAGACTGGGTTATCTAACTATAATCAGGTAGGTGTGATTGAAATAATAACTGATGTATATGGAAGACCAGTGGAAGAAAAGGCTGGAAGAACTTAATATGATAAGCTGCTAAGTAATCTGAATTTCATCCTTAAGACTAAGAGGAAATCACACATGTGTGCAAACAGCTGCACACACGAACAAATGCACAAATGACTTCTGGAAATATACTTAACCATTCCATTGCCTCATCAAGGCCAGTGCCTTTGGTTGCTGAAGTTTTGAATATTTGCCATTTTCGGTCCTTCAACACAGGTAACCCAAGTGAATTTGCCATCTCTGAGGGAGTCATGGCCTGTTCCATGTCCTGCTTATTTGCAAACACCACTAAAATGGCTTTTCTCAGTTCTTCTTCCTAAATAAAATAGAAGGTATTTAATTTTCTCTCATGAATTTGCTTCCTTGAGTTTAGAAAGAAATGCCAACAAATACATTATTTTAAGAGTATATTCCCTAATTATGAATCTATAATGTTCATTATAAATCATTTGAAATTATAGAAAAGTATGTAGAAAAGAAGCTTCGTCCATAATCCTACCTCCCAAACATGATCACTCTTAACATTCTGGGTATTTTCTACTGCTTTGTAATTCAGATACGTATAGTTTATTAATAAATACATTTATACATTTGAGATCACATTTACATACAGTTCTATACCCTGCTCTAAAAAATAAACATTAAATCATGGATATTTTCCCAATCAAAATTTTCAAAAAAAATTTAATGGTTAAATATATCTATACTATGAATGCATACACTATAAACTATATAACTACTGTTCTCCAGTATTAGACTCTTACTAGATTCTTTTTACTTGACTATTACAGAAACTCAAGGGACACAGTCATTACACAGAAATCTTTGTGTGAATCTCTATTTCCTTAATAAATTCTCCAAAAGTAGAATCAAAGTATGAACTTTTTTTGGGTTATTGTTATATATATATTAATAAACCGCTTTCCAGAAAGGTTATAACACTTTAGACCCCATCAACAGTGTATGACAGTACTGTTCTTCAATGCAGCCTTGGAAGAATTAGAAATTACTTATTTTTCCAAACACAGCATCTCATTACTTATTTATTATCAGAGTATTAGAAATGCAAATGCTATCAGCAATACAGTTTTCTCGTGTGCACTGTAAGTTCATGCCTTTTGCTCAGTTTTCTATTTATTTGCAAAGGGTCTTGATATGATTAAGAACACTAATCTTTAGTCACTGGTTGTAAAACTATGTCCTGGTTCCCTGTTTTATGCTAATTTGTATTTGCAGGGTTGTTTGTATTAATATAATTAAATCTATCTTTTCTTTTGTAATTCCTTCCAATCCTTTGATTTAGAAAGACCTTCCCTATCCAGAAATGTTAACCATAGTCACTTACATATTCTTGGATTTGTATTTTTTACATTTTCTATTTTTTACATTTCTATTTTTTACATTTAATTCTTTACTCCAGGAAGAATTTATTTTTGTGTACAAAAATGGGATCACTTACAGTGGTTTTGTCTGTAAGTTTGAATGTAATAGATAACAGACCTGATCATATGCTACATGTACTTTACATCATATATTTATTGACTGGATCAATTAAAAATTACTTCCTAAAGAATGAATACAATTTTTAGTTCTCATACAATTATACAAGTCAAATCCTAATATCAAAAATAACAATCCAGCACAACTCAAGAACTGTAAACTGAAGCTAATAACGCATTTCTTTTACGCAGTACTTTTTATGATAAAAATCCATACCATTTGAATTACATCTAACTAAAGGTTTTATTTTAAAAAACCCATTACACTGATGGGTTAAACAGTACCTTAAAATTCCTTATACTTAAATTTGGTCTAAGAAGCTCTTATGATAAATATGATGCTATATGCTGTGAAAAAAATTAAGCAAAAGTTTAAAACTATTAGGTCTGCAATTTGTAACTCAGAAGCCATTAAGTCAGTAGTCAAGAAATCAGAAGTTCAAAGTATTCCAAAAATGTTTCTACCTAGGTAATCAAATGGCCTAGAAAACTTGTATTTAAGCATTCAGTGATTGGCTAATTCAGAATCATAGTTCTCATAGGAAAAGGGAACGTACTCATCTAATTTTCTCAAGCAAAGGTAATTTCATTATTAAATTAACCATAAGTACATTCGAAAAGCTTATTTAACAACTGGAGATTTTTTAAACTTTTGATTAATGCATCCTCTGAATTTAGTTAGCCAATAAATTATCTTCAGTGACTACAATGTTTTAAGTTGTTGTACACTGTTCCACACATCAGGAATATTAGGGTAAACTCACATTTTAGGGTGGGAGACATATATAAGCAAACAAATATATTTTAAAATAACAAAGAAACAGTAAGTGGTACAAAAAATAAGGTAGAATAAGGTGTTAGAAAATAACTGAGGCTGCTCTCTGAGGCAGAAACAGGAGATAAAACATGCCAAGAAGGTAGCCATGCAAAGATCTGGAGGAAGAGCATTACAAGCAGAAAGATGAGGAGGTGCAAAAAGCCCTAAGCCAAGTGATCAGTGTACAAGCTTAGTGTATCCAAAGAACAGAAAGGTCAGTATGGCTAAAGGACTAAACACAGGGAAGAATAAAGAATGAAAAAGCTGGAAGAGATAAATAAACAAGGGCCAGAGGTGTGCCAGAAACCCAGAAATTCTAAAACAAACAAATAGGCTTTCTTATTATTTATACCCTTATCTGCTTCCATAAACTAACTTATACAACTAGAAACAGATTTTATAAAAAAGCACTTCACAGGAGTAACTTAAAATAGTTTTCAGTTTAGAAATAGTTCAGCTCTGAGCTTCCTAGAAATCAAGAAATCTAGTTTAAAGGAAGTTACATGGCTGGATTTGATTTTTTTTTTTTTTTTGGTCTTTTTGTCTCCTTCTTCTTCCCAACAGAATTTCTGGAAGAGGAAATAATTTGTATAAAAGAAAATTATACTAACGACAAGGGGGGGGGAAAAATCCCTGCTTTCCTTTTAATTATTCCTACATGTGGTAACAATGAAAACTAGCAAGCAAACGTAAAAGATTTCCCCACATTCGAATAAAGTTTTCTTACCTCCAACATGGCAACTAACTCTGATTTGGAAATGCCGATTCGGTCTCGGTCACAACTGTCTACTACATAAATGACTGCATCTGTGTTTGAATAGTAACATCTCCAGTATGGCCTAAAGAAAATTCAGAAAGGGAGAATATATTATTATTTGAAAGAAAAACAACCTGCTATGTTAATTTATATGCTAGGACTTGGCAATGATGGGGAGTGGGGGGTTTACATGCCAATCTTGCCACCCCCCCATGTTAGAATCAATGCCATGATTCACTGTTTCTGATGGTATGTATGTATCATATCCTTCAGATGTGATGGGGGTGGAATGATAAATATTAAATCACAGGATCAAGAAGTTTCAAAATGAGTTCAGACTTTAGGCTAAGAAAGTACTTTATAATCAATCTAAAAAATCACTAACTGTACTGAGATAAAGTTATACACGGACCTTACTATTAACATCTAATAAATCTCTAACTCTAAATCTCCTTAAGGAATGGGTTCTTAAAAAACTTTTAATATGATTTTATATAGCAGACATTAAATTGACTACTGAAGACTTCATGAAGTAGAAATGGCTGAAATTAAAGAGGGACTCAAAAGCAGTTCAAAAAATAAAACAAGTTAAAAGGCAGCAGGATGTTTGGAAGAATGTACTACTTATGTTTTAAGTAGGTACCATAGTGAGCAACACTGACAGTCACCAAACATCCACAGTTGCCATGCCAAGCACAGAATGCTGGGCAGGAGACCTAAGTTCTAGAGGGCATCTATGTTCACATTAGCCCTAAATGGTGGATTGAAAGTTATTTTTATAAATCCAAAACAGTCTGTTTCACAAAGTGGCAAGAACTAAATGGAAGACCCTTTTCAGTTAAAAACTACTGAAGTAGATCTTGAGATTTTCATGAAAAAATTTGTCATTAAGGTGATATCTGAAGAACTGGCTTCCTTAAATTTTATTTTAGTTCAACTGAGCAAATAAGCAGTTTTACCTCATTTTAAATTAAGTGGCTTCCATTTAAATTACAAAAGAAAACATACTTGGTTTATTGCTCTTAACCTTAAAAGGGCCAATAAATGTTCAATACTACAAAGTAATCTGGTCTCTGTACCATACCTGATACTTGTCTGTCCTCCTAAATCCCAGACTTGGAATTTAAGGTTCTTGTATGTTACCGTCTCAACATTAAATCCAATAGCTAGAAGAGAAATCAGAATCAGTAGTATACGTAGACTAATGCGTTCTACCTTCAAAGTATGCAATCCAATTTTAGCAATTAATGAAATTACTACTGAATTACATTATTGGTTAAAATATTATTCCATTTAAACACACACCATCCATTAGCAAGTTCAGCACCACTTTCAGGTTATATAAGAATCCCCAATTACCTCTGCAAATACAGAATTTTTAGCTCAACAGAAATCCTACTATGTTAAACTCCCTGTATAATACAATCCTGGCATACAAGTGTTTAGAAGGTTATGTTTAGAAAGAACAGCCGTAGATATATTACCAAAAATGGAATTTTGATAGGCAGCAAGTAAACAGGGAACAAAACCAAGATAGCCCAAATTCTAAACTTTAGTGGGTAAGGATTCAGTAACAGCTATATACCACTTTATGGAAACTGGGTTCTCTAAGTGTGGCAACCTCACAGACCCTCTGCAGACTTCCTCAAGAGCTTATTTGTAATAAGGTCATGGCTGGATGATCAAAGGGGAGATGTCCCATCTCTTTTCCCTGACATCCTTTTTAGGTGGAGCTCTAGCATCACACAGCTGAGGCAGGATACTATTTTCATTGAAAAGAATCTAAGGAAGGATACAGAGGATGCTGAAAAAACTGATTACTAAGATTTTAGAAGCTTAAAAAAAAGTAAAAAAATGACATAGCTATAACTGGACAATTAATTTTTGTTTTAAATTTAAGTCTATATTGGTAAATGATGCTAATGAATGTATGGTAAGCATTCCCTATCACAACTAAAAAATAGCTATAATAAACCTGAGTGAAAAACTAAAAAGCAAGTTCATGATGTCTCCCTTAGAATTAAGTAGGAGTGTAATCACCATCTTACCTCGATTACAAACACTGTTTATATGCACAGGACAAGAGTATGCTGTAAAGTGTATTCACTGAAATGCAATCCACTGGGCTATGTGCACTGCAGGGGCCAAGACTTAACCATAATAGAGATGGGTGATTTTGAGAAGCAAAAACCAAGGGAACTGAAATTTTTTGAAGGTGGCACAAAGAAATAACAGAAGCCACAGGGTTTAAAAAGTTCTTCTTTCATAAAACCTAGACTTTTTTTTTTTAATCTGGAAATTTAAATACTACTAAATATAGAAATACCTTGCATGACAGTGATTTTAGAGGCATAATTTAATACTCTTGAGCAAACGCTACAAACTCTTAAACTTAGTTTAAATATATTAATCTTCTCTAAGTAAATTCACGTCAACAAATTTAAAAAGTATAAATAACAGTATTCTCATGTAGTCAAACAGGACTGTTTAAGAATATCCTTCTAAAATATCAACAACTTATTTAAAGTTGAGGTATTTCTTCTCTGGATACTTTTAGGTACCAGATTAATTCAAGAGTCAGTCTCTTCCCCTCAGTTCTTTACAAGCAATCAATAGAATTACTTAAGAGAAACAAATCTTAATTAAAATAGTAACAAATACAGGGGAAAAAAGCACATCAGATGCAATAATACCACTTAACACCTATATAATTCTTTAAAAAGGTTTACAAAGTATTTTATGTACTTCATGTATTTCCCCCTTAAAGACAGTGGGTATTATCTTCATTTTATCAATAAAGATACTGGCTCTCAATGAGATTAAGCGGCTTAACTCTAGCCAACTTTAAAAATAGCAAAACCCAGCTATGCACAGGGGTTTACAAACTGCCTCTAAATTTATAAAAAATGTTATCAATATTATGTCCACACTAGAAGTTTACAAACCTTATTATATTAAAATTACATTATATGAATTACTTAATCAGAAATAAAGTTACATTAGATGGAAAACAAAACCCCCTACAATTAGTTTACCATACCAACACTTACTAGGAATAGTAGTAACGACTTCTCCAACCTGTAATCTGTATAAAATTGTAGTTTTTCCTGCTCCATCTAATCCCAAAATTAAAATCCTCATTTCCCGGGTTCCAAACAGACTGGAAAAAATACTTGAGAAAAAGCCACCTGAAAAAATAATAAAAGAAAAAAATTCATTCAATATCATTTTGTGAACTAAGTCCACAAAACATTTAATCTTGCCTTTTGAAAGCTATACCAAATTAAATATTACTGTAATATTCTCCTCAGTTCTTAGGTGCGTAACTTTGCTCCCAATGATATATATTAACCAACATCAAACAAGTAATTACTGAGTGTCACCAAGTCCTAGATACTGTGTCAGGAAGGCACAAGAAGATATATTCCAGAATAAGAGAAACAAGAACCACTGTCCTCATGGAGCTCACTTTTTTTTTAATAAAATTTTTTTTTTAAGATTTTATTTCTTTGAGAGAAAAAGAGAGAGCGAGAGCACAAGCAGGGGGAGCAGCAGAGGGAGAGGGAAAGGAGCCTGATGCAGAGCGATGCAGGGCTCGATCCCAGGAACCTTAGATCATAACCTGAGCCAAAGGCAGCTGCTTAACCTCCTGAGCCACTCAGGCACGCCCTGGAGCTCACTTTCTAATCATGAGAATATAGATACCTTAGTATGATCTCACAACCCCTAAACACCAAGGGACAAATCAGAATGACAGTGGGACAATGAGGTTCTCACATGTGAAAAGCAATTATTATCACTGACAAGAGCACCATCATAACTACCTTCAATCACTGAGATTTCTCTGTAAGCAATATAACTTGCAAAATAAATTGAGACACAGAAGCCCAAAATAACAAAACCTATTTTTGAGAGAAAACTCATTTAAAAAAATAATAAAGCTACATTCACTGTACCATGAAATATTTCCAGAAAGTTTCTTGTACATAAGGTAATGTGTAATATAAAAGCACTTGTGAACAGAGTGGTGATTATCAGAATCACCACTGGTGACTGAATGATAGAATGGTGGTTATCAGATGCTTGGGGAGTGGAGGAAATGGGAGAGATGTCAGTCAAGGGTACTAACTTTCCTTATAAAATGAGTAAGTTCTGGAGACCCAGTGAACAGCATGGTAACTACAGCAAACCAATGTATTGTACACTTGAAATTTGCTAAGAGAGTAGATCTGAAAGTGTTCTTACCAAACACACAAAAAAGCTAATGTAAAGTGACAGAGGTATTATGGGGTCTTTGGTTTTGGGTGACAGGGGTATTAATTAGCTTGATTGTGGTAATCATTTCACAATGTATATCAAAACATCACATTGTACCCCTTAAATATATGCAGTTTTGTCATTCATACCTCAAGAAACCTGGAAAAAAATTAAAATTAAAAAATTATCCTTTGTCTCAGCAGGGCCTCCTGGTAACAGATTAAGGCGTTGATTCATTTGGATTGCATTTAAATAAGAAATCCCTAAGAGTAGGGGAGGTGGTGATTTAGTCTTTATTACTCTTTTTACAACAAAAGAAAGGGTTTTGTTTTTGTTTTTGTTTTAAGAGAGAGAGAGCGTGGCAAAAGCATGGTGGGAGACAGAGGGAGAGGGAGAGAGAATTCCAAGCAGGCTCCACACCCAGCACAGAGCCAACACAGGGCTGGATCTCTCCACCCTGAGATCATGACCTGAGCCGAAATCAAGAGCGGGAGGCTCAACCAACTGAGCTCACCCAGGCACCACAGAAGCTTTTTTAAAATACATTTTTTCTTTAATGATTACCAGAAAAAAACACTTTTTTTCTGTCCCACCAAAAGCCATTAGAGAAGGTTAAAAGAAAGTTACATTAACAATAAAAAAAAAAAACAGTTGACAACTGAAGTGATGTCACATGCAATACATGGTTATCTGACAAAGAAATGGCACAATTAAGAGCCACAAATTTGGAAAAACGAAGACACCATGGGCCAGAGAACCTTGGGAAAGTGTAACAGAAGGTGTGTAACTTGACAAAATCCTTTCTACCTTTTACACCTTAAAAACAACAAAAAAAACCGGGGCACCTGGCTGGCTCAGTCTGTAGAGGATGCTACTCTTAATCTCGCAGCTGTAAATCTGAGCCCCACCTTGAGTGTAGAGATTACTTAAAAATAAAATCTTTAGGTGCGCCTGGGTGGCTCAGATGGTTAAGCGTCTGCCTTCAGCTCAGGTCATGATCCCAGGGTCCTGGGATCCAGCCCCACATCGGGCTCCTGGCTCAGCTGGGAGTCTGCTTCTCCCTCTCTCTCTGCCTCTCCCACTGCTCATGCTCTCTCTCTCTCTCTCTCTCTCTGTATCTCTGTGTCTCAGGTGAATAAATAAAATCTTTGAAAAAAATAAAAAATAAAAATAAATAAAATCTTTAAGAAAAAAAAAAAAACCTAAAGGGAGGTATGGAAAAAGACAGGAAAGCATTTATGATCCAGGGCAAGAAGTAAATCCCCCGGAAAATGGTAGAGGAATTAAAATAATCCAAAGAATTTGCATTATTTGGACAGTTGTAAACCAGTTTAAAAATCTGCACCTTCATTTGGATTCCAGCGGGGAGGGAAGCTAGCTTGTGCTTGTGATGACAACGTAGTGCCCTCAATTAGCACTCCAAATATCGATATTAAAATTTCACTCACTGACCAGTAATGACCAGTACCCTCCCCATTTCCTTCTCCACCTTACTCTATCATCTGCATGAAAAGCTACAGATAAGCAGGCAAATGCCAAGTTGGCTATAAAACACTGTGAGCAACAATTCCTTTTTGGATTTTTTAAATTGACGCAATCCCAGGGGCCAGGAGGAGAGAATCAAGCTTCCACCGTGGGGTCAGATCTCATCTTTCACGCAAGAAACCTCAGCGCACCTGCGACTGACAAATTGCCAAGCTTCTCAAGGCCAACTCTGCCCCCCAAGTCGAGCTGGGTCTGAGGAGGTGAGGGAAAAGTTCATGGTCAGGGGAAAGGGCTCAGGGCCGGGTTCCCAGGCCGCAGCGCTCTCCGGGCCCGCGCTACCCCCACCCCCTGACCCTTCTGGGGTGAAAGGAACAAGAGTGAGGGCAGGAGCAAAAGCTCGAGGCAGGGTCCACCCCCACAGGTGAACAGCCAAGGTAAGTTAAGTCCTCAGCGACCCGCGCCTGAAAAGCTGGCTACTCTGGGCTTCCCAGGCGGGGCCCTCTCCTCCTCCTGACCCAAGCCGTCGGCCGCAGCCCCTCCAGCGCGCCCGGGAGCCCTTCTCGGATCCCTCACCCATGATGAGCCGCCTGTCCGCCCTTATCGGTGGTGAGAGACAGGCCCCCGGCCTTGGCAGCGACTCCTATTCGAGCCTCGGCGCCGCCACCTCTGCTCGCCTTGGCCTATGGCTCCGGCTCCCAGGCGGATCCCTTGGAAGTCCGGTCAGCCACCAACTTCCACGTCGAACTCCCGGCGTGGGCGGGAGCGACGGACCGCGGCGACTATGCGCCAGGAACGGCGACCTGAGCGTCCGCGTCGTCACTTTCGACGAAACTTCCCGGCCCGCTGGGTGGAAGCCAGAGGATAAAAATATTCAAGGACCCCAAATCTCTCTTGCTTCTGTTTTCTTGTACCGAAAGGGTTTCCAAAATAGAGAAATTCGAATTTTCATTTTAAATTCTGACACGCAACAGTGGCGAATCTGCCAACCAAGAATTCGAGTCGGGCCTCGATGCTGTAGCCCAGCTGGACGCCGGCTCAGGGTGCAGCGTCGTGGAAGTTGCAGGTCCTAAAGCGCCGTGCGGGGGCGACGCACCTTTCCCTGGGTGCTTTCTCCCGCACGGAAATAGAACTACGTAATAATAGGAACAGCCCCGCGCGGCCAATGCTAATCAGCCTTACACCTGAGGCCGCTAACTGGAGGTTTTTGGAGTCGCGATAGCCTGTAGGGTCAGCGTTAGAGCCCTTCACCCCTTTCTTCCACCTAACTGACCACCTTTCTGGGATAGGCAGTACGGAGGAACTGGTTCAGCTCACAAGGACTGAGGACCTGTTCCCTCAAGGGGCGTCGAGGGTATTGCCGGTCTTGACAGGAAATTGTATTGGAAGGAAGGAAGAGATACTTGGAGGATGGGAAGAAGGGATTCTCCTAGACTCTCATCTTTCTAAGGTTGAGCGTGCGTGTCTTAAAAATTCGTAAAGGTACATAGACAAGTAAACCTATCCCTAGCCCCCAATCCCACAGTTCTTCATAGAAGTCACCTTTGTAAACTCTTAGGCCTCCTTCCAAATATAATTTTTGCCTATTATGTTTTTATTTAGAGATTTTCATCCGTTCAACAGAGTTTATGGACTGTTCTGTTTTTTCCTTCAATTTTCAGACCTTTCCAGCTGCCTAAGCATTGAACCAGATTTGCCTTTTGCTCTCGCCTCCCTTCCCCACTTCTAAATCATAAATTCACAGGAATTTTCCTCACAAGGAAAAGTTTGGTTTTATTTGTTTTTTATTTTATTTTATTTATCTATTTATTTATTTATTTATGGAGAGAGTTGAGTGACTCTTTAAACACCTGGGCCTTTACGTTGTCCCAGCTGTTGGACTTAAGTGGGCTGAGATTCCACTGACCTTTTTCACCTGTTCTTCACCCACCTGCAGTCCATATCTTCACCAAGATTAGCTGCTGCCACTTGTCATATCTTGACCATTGCCACTTCAAATTTTGTCCATGTCAGATTTATGTTTCCAGTATAATGCACATAGTTGTCTGAAAATACAAATTCCCTTTATGGGAGAACTAAAAGGAGAGATAGCTGTAAAGTTTATATTTGCACCGCATATTCTGAACCAAATAAACAAATGAAACCTATGTGAGGACGCTGTGTAAACTGAAGTGCTATATGCAGATTAAAAAGCATTGTTAATACTGTTAGGTGGCATTTCAGCCTTTCATAATGTGTATTAAGCACCTAGTTACAAGTCACTATGGAAACAGTGTAATAAAAACTCTTTAGGCGATTTGATCAAAAACTTTATTTTTCTTTAAAGATGTATATTCATGGGGGGCAGGGAGCAGAGGAAGAGACTCCTCACACTCGCTAAGGGCAGGGCTGGATCTCAGGGCCCATGAGATCATGACCTGAGCCAAACCGAGTTAGACGCTTAACGACTGAGCCATCCAGGTGCCCTGAAACACTTTATTTTTAAATTTTACCCATTTAACTCTTTGCTTTGTCTGTTAAGATTTGATCTCATTTCCTGGTTGCATCAAAAATTCTTCTCCATTCAGAAACCTTTGATCTAAGGAAAAATCCCCAAATATTAAAATATTACCTTTAAATTTTTTTCTAATGTAGATTTAGGACAACTAAAATAACTTTCCTGACCACTTATTGTGTTCAAGGCCTTATGCTATGCCTATTAAATTGTCTAAAACCCTACTCTCAAGGGTGCACTCATTAACCCAAGGGTGTTTAAGACAGAAAATTTAAATTGTTTCATAAAATGCTGAGACATAAAAGCAAAGCCATAAACTGCTTAGAGAAACTTAGTTAATCTTTATTAGTGGTAACATCGCACCTCTACTTTCTCCTCCCTTCTCTCAATCTCAATTCCTAAGACTAGAGCAGTTCCTACTTTAATGGGAACATAGTTTTCAATGTGTAAAGGAAAATTTAAGGTTGTGAAAAGTAAGATAACAAAAATTCCACTTCCTGTATCTTTTCTGGTATTAAAGACAGTCATTACCTAGGAAAGATACTTATCTTTAATATCATTTTTCAAAATGTAGTCATTCTTATTAATATTGGCCTGGTATTACAGTTCCTGCTTACTAAAAAGAAATACTTGAGGAAACAGAATTATAGTGGCAGGCTAGAATTAAAACTAAATATTTAGATTGTAAGTCTGTGGAATTTTATTATTCAGACAAGCACATAGAATTGACCTCACCTTTCAAGTCTTTGCTCAAATGTCATTCTATTTAAAATTGCAACCTACCCAACATCCTCCTTGTCCTGTTTTTTTTTAGAACTTGCCACTAAACATAATGTGCTTATTTACTATACCTATTATATATTGTCTGTGAATGGCAATATTTTTGTGGGTTTTTTTCACTGTTTTGTTCTTGTACTTGGGCACTAAAATATTTGTTGAGAGAATTTGTTGAATTATAAAATAAGTTGTTAAGGCGAATGCTATAAGCGTTAGTTAACTTAAACATATATTGTGCAATATAATTAAACGTGTTTCCTAAAATAGATACATCCGAACCACCTGTCATAGTTTGATAGAGGCCGAACTATCATTTTCGAGGAGGTTGTCTTATTTGAGGAGAGGCCACCAGGTGGTGGTATTGCTTCAAACTAATTCTCCATAGACTGAGATCAATTGGTCCAATTAAAAGCTGAGTTGATTGGGCGCCTGGGTGGTTCAGATGGTTGAGCATCTGCCTTCGGCTCAGGTCATGATCCTGGAGTCCCTGGATCGAGTCCCGCATCGGGCTCCCTGCTCCTTGGGAGCCTGCTTCTCCCTCTGCCTTTCTCTCTCTCTCTCTCTCTCTCTCTCTCTCTCTCTCTCTCTCTCTCTCTCTGTCTCTCATGAATAAATAAATAAAATCTTTAAAAAAAAAAAAAGCTGAGTGGATAATTTAATCCTTTTCAAATCTCATGGTCCAATAATAATTTACTAAATTTTAAAATGTGAATGTTTTAATTCAGTCCAAGCAAGTAAAAGAAGTTCAAAAGTCCTTTGACTATAAAGTCACAATAAGATCAAATAAGTTCAGAATTTTAAAGCTAAAAGGAACCTCAATTCCTGCCACCTCAATTATAGATGAAGTAGAAACAAGCTAAGAAACAGAGCCAGGACAGCAACCCTGATCATTTAACTTCCAGACCTGGAGTAACTAGGTTATGATGCTTTCTGTAACTGAGCCATAATCTATACATTTGGTAAATTGATTTTCAAACACATGACCATGACTCAAGAATCTGTAGTTTCCAAAGTTGGAAACTTAACATTTCTGTATGTTTCATTACCTCGTGGAAGTTACATTCTTTTGCTCAGATTATATTCCATGAAGCAGAAACCTATGAAATATAATAAATATAAATATATAATAAATATAAGCTTCAGAAGGGCTCATCATACTATGTATAATTGTAAACTAAGGAGCATTTTGAAATCATAACTAGGCATGTGATTTTCACAAAGCAAGATGTCTATTTATATTTCAAATGTTTCCTTTCAATGACATGTATTTTGCCAACAGAGAAGAAGTTCTCTTTAAAGGTTTTTGTGTGTGGTTTTTTTTTTTTTCTTGGAGCGCCTGGGTGGCTTAGCCGGTTAAGCGCCCAACTCTTGATTTCAGCTCAGGTCATGATCTCAGGGTCATGAAATGGAGCCCCATGTTGGGTTCTGTGCTCAGCGGGGAGTCTGCTTGAAGATTCTCTCCTTCACTCTCCCTTGCCCCTCCTGCCCCCACCCCTGTGCTCTCTCAAAATAAATAAATCTTTTTTAAAAAGTAAATAAAAATAAAGGTCTTTTTTTCTTATTGAGTTGTAATTCACATACAATAAAATTCCCAATTTTAAGTGTACAATTAAGTGACTTCTAGTATATTCACAAGGTTTGCAATGATCACCCAAATTTCAGAACATTTTCTTCACCCCAAACAAAAACTCTGTACCCATTAAGCAATAATTCCCCAGCTGATCCCTCCCCTAGTGTCTTGTAACCTCTAATCTATTTTCTATCACTATGAATTTGCCTATTCTAGATATTTCAGATAAGTGGGACCACACAATATTTGTCCAATTTTTGTCTGGCTTATTTTACTTAGCATAATGTTTTCAGGATTCATTCATTTACAGCATTTATCAAACACTTCATTCCTTTCTATGGCTGAATAATATTCTATTAAATGGATATACCATGTTTTGTTTATTAAACAGTTGATGGACATTTGGGTTGTCCTCGCTTTTGTCTATTTGAATAATGATGCTATGAACATTTGTGTACAAGTTTTTGTAGGAATAAGTGTTTTCAGTTTTGTGGGGTATATACCTACAAATGGAATTGCTAAATTATATGGTAACTCTTATGTTTAACTTTTTTTTTCTATGTTTAACTTTTTGAGGAACTACCAAACTGTTTTCCAGCTGCAATGTTTGCTAAAACTATTTCGCACCATTTTACATTTGCCCCAACAAAGTTTGAGGGATCTTATTTTTCACATCCTCACCTACACTTATTTTCCACTTTTTAAAATCTGGCCATCACAGCAGGTGTAGAGTGGTATCTCATTGTGGTTTTCATTTTAATATTCCTGATAAATAATAATTCCTGATAACTAACAACCTTTTCATGTGCTTATTGGCTATATGTATATTTTCTTTGGAGAAATGTCTATTCAAATCTATTGCCTATTTTTTCATTATTTATCTTTTTATTGTTGAGTGTAAAAGTTTTCTATACGTATTCTGGATACCAAATCTATAT